GGGAGGGTTGTCCACAGATCTAGGTCTCAATTAGAAAACTGTACACAGGTGGTTAATCCTCGTCTCAAAGGTGACACAGACTTTGTAGAAGGAGTCCAGAGACCAGTCACTCACATGATCCCTGTGATGACTGGCCTCACTTATGAAGACCGACTCAATCAGCTGAACCTCTTCACTTTGTCCCATCGCAGACACAGGGAGACCTAATCATACAATACAGGATTCTAAGAAATCACTTCAAACATGATTTGTCTTCTCTTATCCTGCTCACTAGATCGGAACACCTCATAGGACGTGGTGGGAGACCACAAAAGCAAAGAACAAACATAGTCTCCACAGAGTACTGGTTCTCGTGTCGAGTAATCAACGCCTGGAATCGACTTCCAGATGAAGTGGTGTCCACATCATCAATTGACTCGTTCAAAAGTGGATTGGACAAGCACAGAAATCTACTGCGAAAGGAAATAATATAGGCTCGCACACTCTTATCCTATCCTCAAACAATATATCTGAATATGAATCTGAATAGACACTCGTCTCTAAACCTTCATCCTGTTTTCGTTTAGTCTCGCTATCACACATTGGTAACTTTGGACTGTGTTCACAACTGAATTTTTGTCTATAATGAACTGATTAATGTCGTAAGATTTCAACAGTGTGTGCCATCTACACATCTGAACGATATCTCACATCAGAACTCCATATTTTGAGAGGATAGAGCACACTGCTGATCCCATAACACACTATTGGTATCATCATATATCTCATTGTGAAAATTACAGAATGTAGATGTTAATAAAACCTACGTCTTCCATTATTTCCTCAATTGATACCTTACTATGAAGAAGAGCAAGTTTATGGTCATTTCAAATTTCATTTCTAATTGAATTCACAGCTATATCGATTGATGTGTCATTGTAATCGTCAATTACACAAAACATACCAATTCTTCACTCTCAACTAATTGTACATCATCGAATTTGTGTTGTATATCACCAGAATTAGTAAGGCTAGTTATCAACGATTTTTAATAGAGCTAAGCACCATCGTGAAATGCTTCAACAGTTCATGATTAGGAACACTGAGGAAGTCTTTTGTCTGTCTAATAGTTTAATGGTACTGCAATTTCTAGAGGGATAACCGGTTCCCGGGACTCACTTAAATCATTTCGACTCATCTAGAAATGGCTTCATTCAGTGTAATAGATTAGTGATGGATTTTCAATCTTATTTACAACAGTATTCACTGACATCCATCCTCATTCTATCGTATGATATTGTTTGTGTATGTTTGATAACCTTTGAGAGAGTAGACAGATTCGTTCAATTCAACCACTGACTTGCTCTTACATGATTTGGTAATCGCCACACTGTTATCGTTTCAAAAGCACTTTTAAACTTCCATTTCTGGTTAATGTGAATAATTTTTCATTTTCATCTTCCTTGTGAAAGTTACCTAACATTATGCTGAGACCTATTCTGAAACCTTTGCACCTGTGTGACTTCATCATATTCCAATTTGTGAATAACATCTTCAGGTTTCGAACCATTAATCGTTACATTTCTATATATGCACTAACCTTGACGAAGTTGATGGAAATTGTACAGACTTGTCATTCTAGGCTTCCTATAAGAATTGGGTTGAAATATCATTTAAGTAAGATAGACCATAGTTTTTGATAAATATTCTCCAAAAATTGATATCCTATTCATAAACTATTAACTGGTGTTACTGACATAATTAGACTAGACGAGTTGAACACATTCTACTGTCATATAACCAAGATAAACTCTGTCTCCTTCACGTTTAATAACAAAGAAAATATTAAATTGATACAAAAAGACATTAAGTTCCTTCAAAATGTCTTACTTCAGCATGATTGAAAATCATCTGGTAACTTCTACCACACTATGGGTTTTCATAATACTCCTCGTCTCTTTCAAATTCCCAACATCATGCGATACTATACAGAATCGTTGAATTTCACCAATAGTTCGTCTGTAGTGTACTTATTGAAAACATCAATCGTACATCATCATGTGCTCAGTTCTATACACCAATCAAATGAAGACAGAACATTCTATAAATACCACATTAACCGATATGAATGTATCCATCAGCTGACTAGATTTCAGTTGGCACTCACTTCAATCACAACACTCACCTGCCTCTTCATGTAAATGTGTAGTAAGTTTAATCATTATCAAAATTAGACTTTCATGACACTCAGTCAGTCAGTCGATCATTAAGTCAGTCAGGCAGTCGGTTGATGAGTCAGTATAAACAGTCAAATATCACGTTTTATTTAACACTTCAAAGTACAGAATATTCAGAATAATTACGAGAAACTATTATTATTATTATCGTAATAATTACTATTACTATTATTATTATTGTCGATTGATACTTGTAATTCTCTCTTGTTAAACTACATCAAATTGATCAGCATCTGTTGACATACACGCTTCCATAGGGATCGCTCGATATTCCCTGAATATTCACTAATAATATTATGATTGATTTGGTTGTGGCTAACAGTGGATTCTAGGAGGCACGTCTCTCCATTCTCTCATGCACTCAACATGTGGATCTACCTGCATCCAAGTGAATGATGTTGCTCCTATTGAGACTTGCACATTATTCCACTCATCAATTCACATGTCAATGTCATATCAATTACTAGCCACAGCGCAGCTAATCATAACAGGAATTATTCGGTCAATATCGAGGAATGTACATATGAGTCGATATGTTGACAGTGGTCTGTCCACTTTATCCAGCATACCACTGAGCATTGTGATTATTTGCAAATACTAATAATGAGTATTATCTAGTGTAGGAGAGGTGGGTGTCATGCTTCATTCAGGTGTAGTAGATGCACAACGTTTTGGTATTTGAAGTGATTGATAGTGTCTTCGAGTTTCAGATGGAACAACATCACTCACTAGTGTGAAGATGTATCCATCTGACGACGACTGCATAATAAACGCAACGCGAATCATAGATTCTGCAGCTAGTCGCAATCAAGTCAATTATAAGACAGCTCGATCAAATGGTTAGTCGCAAAGATCGAATCAATGACTTACCATGCTCATATAATGAACATACTTCATGCATGATATAAGTGAAGAAGAGAGATACTATTTATATCTCACTTACAAAACTCATGTCTACACCAGTCACCTCACTACTCTCTCATCCTACATTCAATCAGATCAGTGTGCGTACAGTCGTCAGTTCACGCATTTCACAATCCTTGTCTGAATAAAAGTCTAGTGAAATATTCCTGAATTGGAATAATGATGAAAGATGTTTGTAGGTGTATGAAATGTGAAGTAGTGAAATGTCATTTTTGTTTACATTTCTTCATAATGCTACACATCAACTGTCATAATCACATTCATTCTACACATATCTATTTCATTATTCTTCCTTTTTTGACAATCTCATGCAATCCATCTTGTTTGATAGCAGACTCATCAATGAAGATGACTAGCAGCATGAATGTGATGATGGAATTGAAATCTTCTCGACGAACTCTTCAAGAAATTGATAAATATACGAAGAGGGTATGTATCAGTTATATGAAATGCCTACAGATTTCAGGTTATAGTTTTTGTTGCTGCGGAAACAGGCGTTACAGCAATCTTAGCACTCAGCCTATACTTCCTGTATGTTCATCATAATCACTAGTTATTTCCTGTAGACCCGACGAGTGTCGCACATGTGCAGTAATTATGACTGCATATGTAATATTGTAAGTGTAAAGTCAACCAATTTATTTGTAAACACATGTTTGTGAATATTGTCAGAGAGTTTCATTATCCTCATATTGTTAAACGAATAATTTATCAATGGAGCGAATTTGTTCACCACAAAGTTTATGTTTTCCTATTGCATCGCTTGAAGAATTCATTTGTTATTACTTTTCTTACTGTTGCATTTCAGCATGATACTTAGTAACCATCGCAGTGATTTCAACACTGAAATTAACACAAAAGTTTCCATCAAATTTACTCCTGACAATGTTACATGTAAGACATGAGTAAATTGTTTCCCATATCATTTATGCTTAACTTAACTTATCAGCAAACTTCACTCCTCCTACTCCTCCTCCTCTTCCTCTCCCTCCTCGAAACTCACTCGAGAAATCACACCACAGACCACACAATATCCATTTATCCCAATCAATAATCACCATCTATAATTACTTCACACTTCATTTTCTTCAATAATTGTTTCATTAGTATAGTAGTAGAGAGAATGAGGTGGAAACGATTTGGTGGATTTCGAGTGCTTATTACAACAGCTTCATGAATACTCACTTGTCAGTGATATGTGTGAGGAGAAAGGTGAACAAGTAACAAATCCACTTGTACATTGTTCAACTCCACAGATCATTCACACACACACACACACACACACACAATCTATTTTGTGTAAGTATACATTGAGAATGACTATCCATGTATCTATTTGGAAGCGAAGAAGGAAGAATGGCGTTATTCGCTATACATTCTGATAAATTATCGTTGTAGTCGTAAGGATTAGATGGACATGTACCTTCCACGATACTCTTCTCACATATATCACATCGGAAGAATATGCTTCTTTCTCCATCACCTTCATATCGAGGCAGTTTTTCACAGTGAAGAGACATGAGTAAAGTCATTCTGATACTTTGAATCGAAGTGAATTGTCACATTAATCGAGTTAGTTTGACTCACCTGAAACGATATCACCTAACTAATGTAATTGAACATGGAAGTGAGGATTAGTGTGGATTTGCATGAAACCACTCTTATTCATACCCACCCATTGCAACACTCTATTATGAGTAGAGAGAGAGAGAGAGATGGAGAGAGAGAGAGAATCGAACGCGAGAATAAATGGCTAAATATCATGCGATGCAGTTGCATATATATGTTAATTCTACTGCGACAATAGTTAAGTTGGTATATATATTTATTTCTACTTTGTAGTCTCTTTTCCCATCCGTTATGATCGGGATTCCTTTTATTTGTCTCGATATTATTTGGGAGTTCGCAGTGTGGGCAGTAGCTTTGATGCTTTATATTACATCTACAGCTTTGGGTACAATTCTTCGAAAAGATATATTCCATTACATGGTGTTTTGGATAGTATACTATATTGTTACTTTCGCTGTTGCTATAACGTTTGGTCTTCTTGTCCACTTTAAGATAATAAAGGTGAGCTCATACATCAAATATTGTAGGAAATGTTTAAACTTCTCTCATGCTGATAAAATTTTTCCTCAAAAGTGATTTCATTTCATTGCTTTCAAACAAGAACATTTATTTTGTGTTATTGCTTGTATAACACCGTCCGTAGTTGATTGGACCGAATTGATCAGAACATTTATTGTTGTTACTTGTTTTAACCTGTTGCTGAGTGGATCGAATTGATCGATTTACTGATGATTCTATTGGATAACTATGTGGCGTTTCAGGCAATATGTCTTGCGTTCAAGTTGTAGAGGGAAAAATATAGCTCATTTAGAGGTAGGTACATCAAGCTGATGAGTCCTAACTAGGATGAAACGCACGTCGTGGATTCCACTGCTAGTCACTCACTATCTATCACTTAAGGCTTTCATTCCTACAGTATAATAATTGATGTTCTTAGACCGATTTATAGAAATCATATAAATAAGAAGATACATCACTTCTATCTCAAAGATATGCATAGCCATATTCATATACATGGATTTGTGCACTCCATATTATTTTGCTTATGATCTGTTAAATGCATATTAAGCAGTGAAATGTTTATTTACATCTTATTTTTTGTTTGTATAAAATCTAGTGTCAGTGCGAAATAGTGATTATTGGTGCAGCAGTGATTACCGCATTAATTCCTGTGAGTTTTCCTACCATTATAAATTGAATTTTGTAACTAAAAGACTAACATACTTTTCATTGATATAATGAAGAGTAAGTACAATAATACACTGCAGTAATGAATCATGAAATGAGAATGTCTAATCGACTGCCTACTACTTATGGTTGTCAAGATCATTTAGTAAGGCTTTATTCACATATTATGTAACAACAGCAATTCCTAACTACAAGTATGATGACAACCTACATTTACTTCTAGGAGGATAGTTGTCACACCAAGAATATCGTTGTTCCCCTTACAATTTAATTAAACTTAATTCGTATGTCGTAATAAGATGGATAAGCAGAGAATAAAACAATAGGTGTACAGTTTTAGCTACATTATTAGAATTTTTCCAGGGTGAATGCCTGGAAGTCAACTGTCTACCTCAACTCCATCTACTTTGAAAAGGCATTGGCGACGTCGACTGAGAAATAATTTGGCAGGCAGCTGATTCAAAACTACAGGATATCACAAACCTTTATCAACCTCATTCAACAGCACCTACATGCTATATGATGCTACATGCAGGGTGATTCACAGCACAATGGAAAGCTCAGTGATGCTTCTGAAGTCAAGTGAAGACAGGGGTAAGATAAGGTTGCAGCCTACTATAACCGATCATCTTCCTGATTCTGGTCCACTGAATCATACAACAAATTGTGAGGAGCGAGAAGACGGGCATATGCTGTCTGCACCAATAAAAAGACAAAAACCCTAGAAGATTTGGTTTTCACCCATCATGATTTATATCTAATGTCTTGTCACACAAGTTCGACGGTCTACATGCAAATACCAACAGGTTGACTGAGGAGGCGGTGAAGACGGGACTTCCTTCAAGTGGACGTAGAGAAGATTGAGGTGATGAAAATACCCAACTGACAACAAAAACAACAAGCAGCAATCATCATCAACAGGAGAAATGTGAAGGAGGTTGTCTCGTTCACCTACGTAGCCAAGGCAGCATCGTTTCAACTATATGCGGCACAGTAACACATGAGGGCGTCAAAGCCAGCGAGGATCGGAAAGAGAGCAAGGCTAGACAGGCCTTCCCTCATCAATCAAAAATCAGTGTGGAGATCTACTGCACTCCACTCCACTGCACTCCACTGCACTCCACTGCATACAGCATTAAACGTGAACAACATACAGATTCTCAACAATAATCTCAGTCAAGTAAGTCACTACTTCCATGTGATGGTTGAGAGAGTTGGCACCTCACAAAAAGCGCTTCCAACAAACTACAAACATACATCATGAATAGTTGCCGCGTACACTCACTCGACACTGAAGATCAGATCAGATGAGATGAGATGAGATCAGCTGGCCAGAATAATAGGAATAAGCGAGGATGAACTCACTCTGGTCTGCCGATGAACCAACGAAGCAAGAACCCATCACGCAACAAATATACAGAAGAAGAAATTGGAAATGGATTGGATATATAGTGAGAAGACCATGTGAGAAAATCACGCGCCAAGTCGAGCCTGGCTGTGGAGTAGAACCGTAATGGGAAACGACGAGCTGGGCGTCCCAGCTGAGGGTGACATGGACGAGATTGTGCGAGGAAGAAATGAAAGCTTCTGGCCAGTCATGGAGTCATGTTGAAAAGACTGTAGAGAACAGAATGAAATAGAGACGTACCACTGAAGCCTTATGTTCGACTAGGAACCCAAACGACAAGTAATAATATAATAAAATAAGGTGGATGTCGTTATTTTACTGGCGGACGTCAGACTTCCAGGACCATCATATTCAGTTTTAAACACATCAAGTTTAGATTGAAAATAAGACTTGTCATGTAATTCACAGACGTTTGTTAAGTTCATAACTCTGTGAACAAAACCTTGCTGATATTTACCGTTTACATATGAATGATGCACAGTATATGCGCAGGTATACATCCATGTGAATCTCCATCTGATCGTAAACATTTCAATTAAGGCTGGTAATCTTCAGGAAAATATTCCAATTAACTCATATTGCAAAAATAAAACAAAATAACTGCCAGCTATTAGATCTGAAGTCATCAATGAAGTTATGACTATCTTTTTTGAACTAATAATTCAGTTTTTCAGTCGCTTGTTCTATTCTCAGATCGCCGTAGGTTTTGGCCAAATTACATTGGGAGAACCAAAGTTTAGAAGTTTTGATACGGATTACTGTCTAGCATCAATATTCTCACATGGTATGCTTATTGCCTTGTTAATGACCAGTCGTATTGGATTTACTATAACCAAAATTGGAAAAAGTGGACCTCCTAATAAAACTAATCACGTTTACGACATTTTCTGATGTAATGTTGATATTTAACAAGCTGTTTAGCCTCCTCATACAAGTGAACAGTTTCGATGCACGAATAAATTTCTACTCAAGAACTTCTGTATTCTCCTGTCTACTTATTCAATCCTCATTCAACATCATTCTTTTAAAGTGTCCTCAATAAATGTGAGCATGTTGTGTGACAATGATTAACAATGGTGATACTGTAAGACGTTTAATTGATTGTAGTTATTCAGTGTGAGGACTTGTAATGTGAGGATAGTTATCAGAAGTGAATTCTGTGGGAGTGCTGCTCTTCTTTACCCAGGATGTGAATGGAGAACAGTTTGAAAGTAATCCTTCTCTAATTTGATGTCTGCATTCACAATGAGTGATTGAGTGAGTGAGTGAGTGAGATGGATTGAATGAAACAGACAGACAGATCACTAAGTATTCATCATGTGTAAACAATCGTCAACAGTAATATAATATATACATGTGTGAACACAGGTTCAGCATAAAACTGACATATGAGGTTAGTTGAATGGGGTTAGATAAGAAAAGGACAGGAAAGAATTAGTCAATTATAGTCGACGGAACTGCAAGATAATTGGAGGTCAGTGTGCCTTAGTAGAGTTGGTCATTGGAGGAATACAATGCTCGATACGACATTAAACGATCCTCAGCTTGATATGAAAATTACTGACATTGAAATCTCTCGGTCAAGCCAGATGTAGCTTTACAGAAATAATAGTAATTACCTAAGTTTCGCTTTATCAAGTGATGAGAGGAATCAGAGTGTGAGGTGATTTTGAAAACTGTGGGATTCTCTGGAAAGTTGTCTAACTTCACTTTTCTGTAATTTGGATTTTGAAAAAGAGACGTTTGTGTATACACCACAGTGGAAGGTGAACTGTGTAGAATTGATCAAGGAATTCCTGCCTGGAGATGATGTGAAGTGTGAATCAATGAAGAAATTTACATCAGTGAGACAGACTTGCATAATAATTGGTGTTTGATGGGCAACAGTTATCTTGACACAGCAACTATAACACGTTTAGTGTTAAATTCTTATTGTGTCAATGGAGGTAGGTTTCCGTGAAATCTAAGTGTAGCTTCACTTGTCTTGCTGACTAAAATGTTTATCGGAAACCCACTCTTCTGTATCACATACAATTATGCGATTTCAACGGGATCGCAAATTGAAAGGTGTTCAACCAGTTGACAGCTTTAACCATGCGAACACTGTATATGTCTCTCGTTATGTTTGGAGTTATTCAGATATGAAGGTTATTGAGTAGCGTGTCTCTCTTGAATTATCTGTCAGTATGAAAACGAATGGCAAAACATGTCGATGCTCTGTGGCATTCAGTTAAATAATCATAAGAAGATTTTAATTGAAATGCCTGTGAGCCGAAATGCATTCAGCAGCCTTGTACACACTGGTGCAGTTGGCAATGAACTATATCTATTGCGTGAAGACTAGTGATATCACGTGGCTGCTTGAACCTCGGTAAGTGGAATTGGTCTCGATCCAGTATCCCTTCAGCTGAGAGTGATCTCCCTAACTCAGTGATTCACACGTCCACATTTATTGCATTCTGACTGGCTTGTTAAACTGAAGCTACATGGTCAAGCATTTACACTATTCAGAGCAGATTTTGTGGATGTTAAAGATGTTAAATCGAAGAGTCTTGGGAGAATTGATTAATCTTTGCTTAGATAAGTTTCAGGGCTAACTCAATGGCCCTCATTGAGGATCACGTATTCCTATTCTACATTTCTCCGAAATTGACGACTTCACCTATCAAAATAGTATTTAATGCAATACAAAAATGTGGAATTATTCTAGCCAATGTACCTAACACACCTTATCACTTCATCAAACTGACGATAGATCGGGAAAGATATATCTGATTTCGTTTACTGAGTTTACTCGCCACTTCACATAATGATCCAACCTGCCAGTAATATATTCTCCTTTTTCATTAATTACATAGCAAGATATCTCTGCCGAAGGGAATCAAAATGTTTGTAAGCTTATACTTCATGACAATGACTGAAAACATGAAATGAAGTGAACATAACGGATACTTTGGAATAGTATACAGGCAACAGAATTTTATATTTTCAGGGTCTGGGGACAGAACAGAGCATGGAATGACAGTTAACTGGATATCTACTGCAAGTTGACCGACTTTGAAAAGGCCTTCGATGACGTCGACCGAGGAGTAATTCGGCAACTGCTTCAACACTACGCTTGTAGTGCCACAAACCTGCATTAAACTCATTCAACAGCTAACCATATGAAGATGCCACATGTCAAGTGATCCACAATGGAAAGCTCAGTGATACTTTTGAAGTGAAGACAGGAAGGAGTAAGACAAGGCTGTCTACTGTCACCCATGATATTCCTGACTGTGGTCGACTGAATCATGCAGCGAACCGTGAGTAGCCACAAGATGGGTATACGATGACCGAACCGATGAAAAGACCCCAGAAGGAGATTTGGATTTAGCCCATCATCATATTTGTCTAGCGTCGCATAAACTCGAAGATCTACAGGTAAAAACTAACAAGTTGACGGAAGAGGCAGGGTGGCGAAAACGATACTTCAAGTGAGTGTAATGAAAACGGAGTTGATGATGATACCCAATTAACGCCACTAACAACAACATCAAACTGCAATCACCATGAACGGGAGAAACTTAAAGGAAGTAGCCTCTTCCACCTACTCAGGCAAGGCAGTATCGTTTCAACTACAGCGGCACAGGCACAGATGAGGATATCGAAGCCAGGATTGGAAAAGCAAGGGAGGCTTTCACCAATCTGAAATCGGTGTGGATACACACTACACTCAGTATAAATCGTGAACGACATCCTGATTTTTAACACTGAATTCAGTCAAGTCGGTGCTTTGTATATGGTTGAGAAATTTTGCGTGTCACGAAAAGCATTTCCAACAATTTACAGACATACATCAACAGCTGTCTTCACTCACTCGTTACTGACGATCAAATGGATGGTTAGAAAGAATAGGCAACAAGGAACTCTGGTGACGAAACAACCAAGAACCTATCGCTCAACAAATATGCAGAAAGAAGCGGAGATGAATTGTACATGCACTGAGAAGACCATTTGTGGACATCCCATGCCAAGTCGATCCAGGCCGTCGTACGCAACCCAGATGGGAAATGACGAGTTGGGCGAGGGTATCTGTGGGTGATATGGAGAAGATGGTGTGAGGAAGAAATGAGAGCTTGTAGGCAGTGGTGGATCCAGGTTGAAAGGATTGCAGAGAACAGAGTGGAACGAAGACGTGCTACTGAAGGTGTGTTTTCCACTAGGAACCTAAGCGACAAATAATAATATAATAGGGTCTAGGGACGCCATTGGAAATAGAAAAATCTCGATGATTAATCTTAACCATGCTTTTTCAATATGATTTATCCGACTCAACGTTGTAATTCCTTTACTTTACTTTCTTTCTCATTGGTTTGTTCCAATATTACGTTGGAGTCAAAGTCTTATCTTCTCCTCTAGCCATATTAATTCCTCATCACATCATTTCCAAGTCACCATTTCATATCATTATAAAATTGCTGAAAAAAGTAGTCTTGATTTTTCTTTCATCCAGTTTCTATGTTGAAGTCAATTATATTTCAATACATGATGAACGTCTTATTCCTACAGTTTCAAATATGCTGTCCTTCAATAATCTATTAGATACTTGAGTATTTGAGCTTGTAGACAGTTGGAGTGAATACGATAAACTGTATCGGATTCAGCCTGAAGTAAAAGTTGGTAACTTTTACCTAATCCATATTTATAAAGGTAACCAAATGAGTTGAAATTATTTTATTATTCAGTAATTCATAAATAGGATGTGTAGTGTAACGTAAATGTTTCAGAGTACTCAACAAATTCTGAATTGGAACTGATTCTTACTAAAAAAGAAAATTAAAACTGTATGGCTAGATTTTTAGAAGGAAAAAAATAAAAAAAACTTGTTAAAATAATGTCTCATTGATAAATTTAAACAAGTGAAATAAACACTATAAATATCTATGAAATATCCCGTTGTTGAACATTGAATATGATTTTCGAATATACATTTTTATCATGATATCAACTTCATACAATAAATAATGTGACATATGCTAAGTGGATAATCTGTCATCTTCACGAGAAATCGAATTGATATATCAAAAACTGTCTACATCCAATAGGGTTTTGAGACAAATTATGTGAAAATGAAGTATAATTATTATAATTTGTACCTTGGATTCGTAGTGGAACGTACACCTTCGATAGCATATCTCCATTGCACTGTGCTATTATCTGCAGTCTTCTCAACTTGGCTCCACAACTGTCCACAAGCTTCCATTTCTTCCTCACATGATCTCCCTCAGGTCACCACCGCCAAGCACGTCCAACTCATCGTTTCCCATCTGGGTTCCACTCGACGACCTCGCCTGGCACGTGATGTCTCCGAATGGTCTTCTCAGTGCATCCTGACTCAGCAGTGCCGACTCGACATTGGTGTTGAAAATACGAATCTTTTTCCTTGCGCTGAGTGCACTGCAGTAGATCTCCACACTGATTTCAAATTTATAAAGCCTGTCTTGCTGTCTTTCCGATCCTGGCTGGCTTTGACGTCCTCGTCTGTGCCTGTGCCGCCTGTAGTTGAAACGATGTTGTCTAGGTAGTTGAAAGAGGCTACCTCCTTTAGGTTTCTCCTGTTCATGGTGATTGGACCTTGTTGATGATGCTGTCGTTGTTGTTCGTTGGTTGGGTGTCTTCATCATCTTCGTCTTCTCTACATTCACTTGAAGGAAGTCCCGTCTTCACCACCTCCTCAGTCAACATGTTGGTATTTGCATGTAGACCGTCGAGCTTGCGTGACAAGACATTAGACATAAATCATGATGGGCGAAATCCAAATCTTCTAGGGTCTTTGTCATTTCATCGGTTCAGCCAGTGTATGCCCCTCTTCTCGCCCCTCACTGTTTGCTGCATGATCCAGTCCAACC